CAGCCGCCACCCGCTGCTCGTGGGAAGGCCTCCATTCAAACCAATGCTCTGCTACGCGCCGCGCTGCTCGGAAGGCGCTGTTAGGCGAAATTTGTCGAAATTAAGTGAACTGTAATTCTTCTTTAAATTTGACTGCGTCCTGCGAAAGATGACATCTGATAGTACTGATGGTGATAGTAAACATACCATGGGTTTTACTAATATTACTTGTATTACACAAATTATTATTTTTGGTAAAAGTCGTGACCGAAAGGGTTAATGAATTTTGGATATATGTATCGGAATAACTCTTATTTCGATACTGATCTCAGTTTCTTAATTTTATGTTTATACAATCAAAGTGAATGGTTTCAATTTACCCTTATAAATAATGTTTCTCTTTTTATACATACTATTTAGATAGTGTTATATCAAAACTAGTGCTGCTTCAACACCATATATTTTAACGGCTTATTTGTAACGGTTATGCAATATTCAATGCTACGTGAATTTGAAAATCATCTCTTTCCAGTATAAATTATTTTCTCCATGCTGGGATTCGATCTCGGATCCCTAGACTTAATCCTCCGGCCCAGATTCCCGTACCCCAGCAGCTCCGCGCCCGAATCCTTTCCTTCCCGACGACGAAAGAAGGTTAAAAATTCGCTGTATAAAAAATTCAGTGTGTATCAATTTCATTAATTCATGATACACTTCTAAAAATTGATATTACTGTGGAAAAAAATCTCTAACGTCAATATTGTATTTTGATAATCTTAATTTTGGTGTGAAATTTTCGAAAATTCAGATAGTTTGCCGAAAATTACATATGCGCCGTTCTTATACGTCTTTCGCTCTATTCAAGGAAAAGCTTTAAAGCAAAACTTGGAGCAATTTTGAGAAAATTTCGCCAATATGTTGGTGCCTGATGTTAAGTTGTCTCAAAATTAAAAGGTCCGTTTCAAATTCGAGGTTTCGTGACATCAGCAAGATCATTCGATGAATATCCATTATAGTGAAAATCCTGAATTATCCATACGTAAACGGACTGACAAAGAGAGTTTTTTCGAAAATCATTTTTTCAGGCTAAGGAATACATAAAAAATAAGCATTTTGACAACCGTTTGTATAGAAATCAATATACGAGCAAAAAACAATTCCCTCTTCTGGAATGAGCGACATACAAAACGCATTTTCTGTGGAATTTTCAACACGTAATGCAGCATTACATAACTCCCTCTTTACATAGTATACATGGAGGTAAAAATTAGCAGGTGTTGCGAGAATTTAAACACGCTCCCTTTTAATCTCCAGTTCTTGCTCAACACACTACGCTATCGCAAATATTTGGCATCGCTATGTCCAGGGGAACTTATTAAGAAAAGAATATTAACGAGATATATTCGTTGCGGTTAAATTTTTTTAGAGAATGTACTGCGTGTGTCAAACATATCAAATTCACGATAAAAATTCAGAAGCATAAAAACACGCACAATTACCTGGTTCATATACGTTAGAAATATTTTCAACCAGAAGCTCAGAGTTGTAGGTTTGGTTGGGCAGCTAGTTCCAGGCATTATCTTTCGGCGCCTACCTTCAAAGCTGAAGCTACGTATAGATAAAAGCTGCGATATCGCCGGGCGGCAAGAAATAGAGTCGGTCTGAAATCCAGAATCGCAATGGCAGAAATTTTTTACATGATTCTTAAATTACCACATTGAAGTATTGACGCATCAAAAGCTTATACTTTGGAATATTTATTAAGGTTACAAATTATTATAACTTTATAATCAACCACAAAAATGTTTTCTACTCGCAAAACTTGTTCGCGACTGATGAGATTCTAACTTCAGTGCGTAATATTACCAAGTAGTCCTTTTACCTATTACACCACAGACCTATTATCTATTACCCTGATGGTAACGCTGCGCCGTAAAACCGTAGCGTCGCGACAAAAAGAATGTTCGACTGACTATTTTGAGATATCACAGGTTTGAATAAAAAACAGCTCCTTAACCAACTATGCTCTAAATGAGGGAAAACTGAAAGAATGTGTTTATTGATTAATTCAAAGTATCTTCTCTACATTTTTTAAATTGCCACGATTACGATCAACAGAATGTGAATTAC